AAGACCATAATCATGGTCCTTCTTATTCTATGGAACAGTAAATTGGTCATTTTACTCAGTGAGTAAGCACAGAGCAGGCTAAGACTGGTCTGAGTCTGTGTGTGGGTGTTTGTACTGACCAAGAGATTATCCATTGCAAAATTTGGTGTGCATTTGCTGTGCATTTGAATAGCTTTACAGCACTATAATTTATACTTATTTTTACTAAGTGCTTGAGCTACTGTTCATTGTGTGCTACGAGGACTGACTTATACTCAATGTGCAGGTAGGTTGTAAAGTTTTACTCTGATGTAAACCCTGGGAACAATTTGTTCCCCTGTGGTAGAGAAAGCATTATGGTGAGAAATTCAGGCATGCCAGACAAAATTATGGACTTACAGACCTAAATGAAGCCTGTGTTTCAGTACTTAAGTGCCTGGATTCCCACTGAGCCCAGCCAGAGATCCATACACATAAGCACCTCTATAAGGATATATTTGAAAGGCATTAATTGTGCTTTTAAAATGCAATTTTGATACAACGCCAACAGAAGATGCAAATAGCTATAGATGCACAGTACTGGGATAAATCTTGGAAAGCTTTAGAGAATCCAAGGGCCATTCCAAAAACTGAAAACCCTTCTAGCAAGAGATCACCACTGCTGTAGTTTCCATACTTTGCAGCATGTGATTGGCTTGTGTGGGATCTACCAATATAGTGAAGAAATAGAGAAATGTCAAAATGGATTCTTTCATTTTGGTGATGAAGTGCTTGCTCTGCTTGCCAGCACTCAGGGTTCAATAAAAGCAGACAGGTCTTCAAAAAATAGCAGCATAAATAGATGAACTCTTTAAAGTAATATAAGTTCTGTCATCTGGATGTGAAATATAGACCTAAGTGCCCGCTGAAGTAAAAGCTGACCACACATTCCATGGAGAAGTGTTAAAAGTTTTCTCAGAGTGTCTTGGGCTGAGAAATGTTTTAACTACATCTCTCCTTGCCACAACACAGAGAATGGAAGCATTTGAAGTTAAACCCATTTTTCAAAAGAAGAAAACAAAGCATCCATAAAGAAACAAAGGCATAGCACAGGATGAGGTCTCTAGGTAGCCACTGCTTTCAGGGAAGCTGCAATTAGCTGTGCAAGGGAGAAGGTGAGGTTACTTGTATCTAAATAGCATTTATAATGATTTCAGGAGCTAAAATGCTGATAGGTATGGGCAGGGAGCTGGTTTCAAGATTTCCTTGTGAGACACAAGGTCAGGATTCCTGTGGTCTCCTGTCATATTTAATTCATATCCTCTGGCCTTCTCCACCATGTTTATTGAATTACAGGAATAAAATTCAATGAACCAAAAACAAAAGAAGAGAGAGAGGACATGGCAAGTCCCGCTTTCTTTTATGTCCCTCCTGCACACCTGGGTTCAGTGGACTTACAGGAGAACATGTTGGAGCAGAATTTGGAAGGAGGGGGAGGTACAAGTTAGTATAACCCCTCTCACCATCCCCATAATTGCTTCCAGATAATTTATTGCAAGCAGCAGCCATTTCCACATGGGAGTGAGGATCCAATTTCTACCATTCAAGACTCTCCCCTGGTGCTTTTTAGGGCTGATCTGTGCACTCCCTGTGTGTGTCTGCCAGGTTCCTTCTGGTCACAAGCGAGATGGCAGCAGAACAGCTTTACAAAACCATTTTTCAGAAGAGCATTCTGGCAATTCATCACTTCAGTGCTAAGAGGAAACCCTCAAATATGTTAAAAGTCCCAGCTGGAGGGAACTGCCCTCTTGGTGTGCCTGTAATGAGGATTCCCTGCAATCATCCGAGTTAAACTGATACAGCCTTTATCCTCCTTTACAAGTGGGATGCAGGAAGCAAAGCATTCCCAACAGGCCTGTGGAGCAATGGGGAATAGGTCTGTGATTTTGGGGAGGATTTTCTTGTGTCTCCTCTACCCTAATCCTGTTTTCATTGCCCTGTATGCTGCCTCCAAGAACTGCCTGGTTTGGGTCGTGGATCCCTCAGCCAAATCCATACCCAGTTCTGCAAGGTGGTTCAGAACCCACAGAGGTAAACAGAGCCATCTCTCCATGCTGTGGGGGGATCACAGCAACACCTCACACAAATACCCTGACACCCAGTAACAGTTTTACAACTTTGTCATTTGGGTTTGGAGCCAGACATATGCAAATCTGGCTCTTGAGTCTGACCCAAAACATTCACAGAAAAAAATAAGACAGGAGATCTTTTGAAATTCTATCCTAAACTGCAAGCTCACCACTATTTAGCTTGGGCATTTTAATTTTTGGAAATGTCACAGCTAATAAATAATGTATTTTCTTTAAGCTACCATATACATTTTTATTTTACAACTTGAATCTGCTTAAATTTCTAACAATCAAGTGCTCTCCTCACGTACATGGCAGCCTATGGGATGGCTGCCTTTTCACTTAATACATTTAATAAAGGTGACCAGATGCTTTGTGTTTTTAATGTCTTGTTCTGCATCCCAACAAAATGTCCCTGTTTTGGCTGCGAGAGCAGATGATTCATCCTGAAACCCAGCCCAGCTGCCCTGACACAGGCAGGGTGAGTAAAAACCCACCATCTGTGCTGGAGGAGTGGGCAGGAGGAGTGCTTTGTCAGGAAAACACTGTCCTTCCTTGGGCACTGCATATTCCAGGCAGCCAGTAATCCTAAAGTCCTGTGGGTCCACCCCCTGTGCCTTTGCAGATAAATTCAGCAGTTATATCCCATTTCCACCATTTTTTCTTCCTTTCCCCCTTCCTGAGAATCCCCCCAGACTGCTCTGCTCTAGGGTCACGAGTAGATCAAACATTGCTGTAAAATGTAAGATGTTACTCCTGGTTTTATTCTTTCCAATTATGTGCCTCAGCCTAGCCTCATCCTTGAAAAAGCAAGAGGGATTCATTTCTGGCTTTTGTGAATAATTAGCTGTGCCCAGCTCTGTGTTAGCAGCACTGCACTGCCAGCTCTGCCAGAGGACACATCCTGAGCTCCCAACTCGCCCCGTTCAAGGGCAAAGCTCGACCCCAGGCACAGCTCCCCTGCTGCCTCAGCAAGAGCCAGGCAGGAATATCTGTAGGGAAAACCTGGCTTGGAGTGTGTCATTGGGATAAGGCACTTCTAGCCTGGTTCTGGCCCCACAACCTTTTCCAGGAGCATCCTGGCAGGAAAATGCCCCAGGGTGGGAGGGGAAGGTTCCCAGCAACTTTTCTGCACAGCCTGTGTTCTGCAGCACTTGAAAGAACCATTGCAGCTCATCTGGCATGCACACGAATGACAAATATGCTTCAGAGGCAATAAATTAGCAATTTCAAGGCTTTACTTCCCCTCATGGACTAATTGCCAGAGATTATAGTATATTATGTGAGAGCAATGATACTAATGCCTAAATATGCTTCAGTGATTATAGAGCTATCCTCAATAACCAAGCTGTTTAAATGTCAATGCAAGAAAGCTCTTTATTATGAGATTAAATATTATTTTGAAGCGATGCAACAGGAACTTCCCAGGCTTTCTGCCTCCACTAATGCTGCCTTTGGGCAATGTATATTGGACAAGGTATGCTTTTTTAAAATGTGTACAGTAAAGGGTCCCTAAATGCTTTTGTGCTGCAAATTTGAATAGCATTCCTAATAAGAAGGAGGATCTTGGCATCTTTTTATTTTGTGGTTGTTGCTAACATGCTGCTGCCTTCATCCTTCCTCCACTTGTGTATCAACTACTGTATAGAGAAGATAAATTCTTGTTTTCTGGTTGTGGAGTTGGGAATCAAACCTCAAAGACCTTTTCTTTTCCCCCCCTCCATCCCCCTCTCTAAGTACCATTATCTTGCACAGATGCTTTTGAGCCCAGCCCCTCACACCTAACTAGATCTGTTAATACCTGGCATTGAGACAACCCCTGCAAATCAGTGGAAGCTCCAACTTTCGGGTTCAGCTGCTGACACGAGGCAGAGAACAAAAGTTTTTGCATATGTCAGTTGAGGGTCACAAGTTCAGGTGTGGAATTAGAAGGAAGTGAGGCAAAAATGTCTTTGGCATCCCACTAATCTCATACAGGATGTCCCCACTACGAATCTGTCCCAGCTGTGCAGCCTGTCCCTTGATTTCTAGTGAGCTTAGTAATTATAATTCATAATTGTTATAATATAGAAAACATAGATAGGCCCGTGGGGACAGATAATGTAAAATGAAGGACAGAGAGAGCCAACTTTTTGTGAAGTTTGGCGGAATTTTCTCTTTAAAGTATTTTTTTCCTTTAGGAATTATTGTTTCTTAAACACAGCCTGCACTTCTACTCCACAGTGTGCTCCTGAGGGGCTGGAGCATCATATACAGATAACCATGAACTTACTGGCAAGAATTCCATTCTGCCCAGCCTTAGCAGGACTGGACACCTGGATCCATGTCCCAATACTTTCTGCTGCAGCCTGGCAATTGTTGACTCTGAAGTTTTGATGTTTTCATCTTGGTTGGTTTCTTCAGCCATTTTACATCTCAACTATAAAATGCAATGCTTGTTTACCTCAGAATGTCTGAAGCTCTTTCTGATGCTCGGTAAAAGACACCTGCCACACAGGCTCAGAAAAGACATAAATTGCTCTATCATTTGTAACATTTTAAAATACCTTCATCTGTTAAAATCACAGTGTGACTGACAAGGAACATGCTGAATAGCCATGAGAATTCTTTCTCTGCTCTTCCAGGCAGACAATAATCTGACACCTTTTTTGTTATGTCTTGACTTAAATATACTATGGGAAACCATATCTTTATCTTTATAACAGCAATAAAGTTAGAACAGGGATGTTAACTAAACCAACAGCCACAGATTGACACTGCTCAAAGGACAGCAATGTGGACTTAGCACAGAATGGGTGAAAATGACCCACGTTTGGCTGCTTCTGTGCAAATATTATTTCAAATCAGATGAAACCCCTCTTCTATTTTTGCAGCCACTTTATGAAAGCTCTCCCCACGCCCAGCCCCACTCACCATGAAGCCTGGGGCACAGATGCAGCTGCCAGTGATGCTGTCACAGTCGGCCCCGTTGTGGCAGGGACAGGGCACCTGGCAGCCCTCGCCGTAGTAGCCCACGGGACACGTCTCGTTGCAGTAGAGCCCAGCCCAGCCAGCCTTGCAGCTGCACTCCCCAGACAGAGGATGGCAACTAATGGAGAGACAGATGTTAATGAGATGTGGGCAGGAAGGAAAAACACAGCCCAGAACATTTCAAGTGTCACACTCAGAGCAGGATAAGCCTGGAAGCTCTTTAGGGTGGTGGATATGAGCAGCTGTATAATTTGGGACATGAATAGAGAATCTGGTGCTAAATAGCCCAGCATTTCCAAACATCTGGGAACTGCCACAGCACTGGTTAGTTTACACCTTGAAGTTTATGCTCTTCCATTCTCAAATCAGTGGGACTTGGATTACTGGAATCACCCACACCATTAATCCTTACAAGCTGTAGACAGGTACGTGCTGCACTATTTGGCTGTAATGCAGACAGCTAAAGGTGTTCAGGGATAGAACAAGTTCCAGTGGGTGGAGGAATCAAGAGAGCTGTGAAGATAAACCTGAGTTCAAGAGCACAGCATTTCTATTCTATTCTATTCTATTCTATTCTATTCTATTCTATTCTATTCTATTCTATTCTATTCTATTCTATTCTATTCTATTCTATTCTATTCTATTCTATTCTATTCTATTCTATTCTATTCTATTCTATATAATGTTGCCAGAAATCCTGTTTTCTTTACTCTCAGAGCAAGAAGAATAGACTTCTGCAAGGTGGGATCTCTCTCTGGGCCTGTCTCCTGTTTTTTTTGTATACCAGAAACAATTTCTTTTTCTTTACGGTTATTTATTGTTATTTATTGTTATTGTCTTGATTCCTCCAGTTTAAGACTGTAGACATGACTGAATGGGTTTTTTTTACACCTATAAAATTAATATTGTATATGTTAATTTTCAAGGTAACATCATAAAATGTGATTTCCAACTATGTTTCAGGCAATTTCTGTTAGGAGAGGTTGGTCATATAGTGTTGCAACTAAAAAGGATCAAATTTTTTAAGTGTCAAATGTTTAATCATAAATAGTGTTTTACTGACTAATTAAAACAATTCATCAGCATAACAAACTACCATCCATGACAAAGCAGTCCCTGAAATTATGGTTTTCACAAAACACCTCTTAACATTCAGATGAAAATAACAAAAGCTCATGTTTCCCCACTGTGTCTATTAATCATTACCTAATAGGAGCAGAAAGCTCAACATTAAAGAAGGATTTTAAAATGAATTTTGTGTTGCTTTCTTTCCACTACTACTACATGTGTCATGTGCTTCCATGAGAACTGCATCTGGGGGGTAAATTAAATCTTTCAAAGGTAATATATGACTAGGACAGTTTGAATCAGACTATGACAATTCGGCAGAAGATACTACACACACTCAGAATTTTTAATCTGAGGTTGGCTCCCTTATCAGCATGGCCAGCTTTTCTGCATGGGATACAAGCTATGCATTAAGGGCTAAACCTCATCCTGATGTGCACTAAAACAAGAATCCAAACCAAACAGGCTTCCAGAAGAATCTACTGGAGACAGGGAACTTGGACTCCAAAACAAAGGCCAGTAGAAGTCTGCGGGCATATTTCGACCCATGAAAGCCTTGCCCACATTTCATGGGACTGTGAGCCAGAAAAATCCAGTGCAGATGTTTGGGTTTCTCCAGCCACATAATCTTCCCATTGAAGGAAGGATCGTTTTGTTATCAGCCTGAGCAGACCAGGGTTTTGTTTTTCTCCCAACTCCAAAGCACTTGTTTGACAATGCAGGTGCCTGATGCAGCGTTAACTTCAGGAGGACTGAGATTGAGATGCTTTCCCAAACTGCACAAGGCAGCTGTTCTCTTCCCAATCCTGCCAGGGAATCTTGGCCACCTAACTGACTCTTCTGCCTTCATTATTCCCATTTCTAAAACGATGCCATTCTCCCTATGGAAATGCTTTCAAGATCTGCAGTTGATATCAATAAATAGTACAATAAATAGTACAACATTTTTCTATTAATTATTTTTTTCTCTCTGGTTTGTATGAACTATTCCACTAATTAAAGTGAGCAGAGTTACATGCTAAATATATTGCAGCTCATGATGTAGAAATAGTGTATGTGTGTGTTTGTTAGGAAGGTTTCTCTTCTGCTGGCATTTGTACAACCACATTCTGGTCAAATTATGTACCTAGATACAGAACAGAGCCAGGAAATTCATCTATCACCCATCCAAACATCCATGTATCCAGACTGCCCAGTTAATTAAATGCTATTTTGGACTGAAGCTGAAATGTTTGAGGCAGAACAAAGCTTGAATAGGAGATGGAAATACAGCTAGAAATTTTTATAAATATCTGTATAATTCCTCCTCTCCTGTTTTGAATGCACCTTCCCAGGCCATGTAACACTTTTCCAGCAGGGGTCACAGTGCCTGTGAGGCATTTCTCCAGCCCCCAATAAACTGAAATTAATGAACACAATTCCTCTGCAGAAGGATGGCTGAAGGATGGGTGAGAGAATGGGAGGGTTCCAAAAGGATCCCAAAGGCAAACCCACCAACATCTGTTTTCCAAGCCTTGCTGGGAGCAGCGAGGGAACCTCACACTCTTCAAAGAGTTTGGCAGTGTTATCCTTTGTAGTTTGCATCAAATCTTAACTTTTATTTCTTCAACTTTCCTGCATTTCAGGAAGAAGCAGAGTAGAAACCAGAAGTGAACACAGGCAGCCAAGTGTTTCTGTGGCTCCAGGCCAAGCAGAGGTGGATCAGAGCTGGCCACACACACATCAGGGCTGACAAGGAAAGGGTTCCAGGGCTCCTGCTGTACTTTGAAATCTACTGTGCAATCCGTGGCTTTTCAGCCACATTTACAGCAATAGAAGATTTATTTTAAAATTTTTTATTAGCTGAACTGAAAAGCATAAGGGCATTTTTGACCTTTAAATTTTTTAAGCATCTAATTTTGAGGAAGTCTGAAGAAAGCAGGTAAATTTCTCAAGACAAATTAAAAGTGTTTTAGACAGCGCAGTCTGTTCCAAATTCTGAATTTGTTATCCACACATCTTTCAGCCAAAGCAACACCTTCCCAGTGAATTTTCTGTTTTTCTCATTATACAGCAGCACTTGTCCTCTCATTCTTGTTATCAGCAGCCTAATCCTGATTTTACAGTATTTTCTGTTTTATGGTGTCCACACTATATCCAGTCTCTCTCACTAAAAAGCCTCTTGTTTTAAAGCAGTGGCCACAGTGAGGCTGCAGGGCTGCTCCTTCAGCCTTGTCCAGCACATGATTGACTCAGATCAAGGCAGATCTCCATGGAAGCTCCATGGGGTTTGGTCCTGCCCATCTTGCCGGTATTGAGGCAGCAACTGGAGCCTCCGGAGATCTGCCCATTCAATTTGCCTCTGAACCAGTGGCTTCCTTCCTTCTCACATCTCTGACCTGGGGCACATGGCTCCCCAGGCTGGCTCCACAGCAGTGCTCAGGAAGGGTGGGTGCCCAGGGCTACTCCAGCTGCTCAGTTCCCTCCCTGCCTGACAGAAGAACAGGATTATTCCCTTCCAGCTATTGCAGGCTGTCTTAACATGGACTTTTTGCAGAGGGGAGTTTTTTACAGGGGTATCCTTTCCAGTGGAAGGACAGTCCAAGTCACCACCACATTCTAAATCACCTAATTGTGGGGCTGTTCAAAGTCCTGTACAAAGTGCCTTTCAGTGTGCTTTGATGCAGAAATTATTGGATGGCGTCCTTCAGTCATTACCATGCTGGAGGTTAGACTAGATGATCACTCTGATCTCTTCAGACATTAAAATAGATAGATCTATGAAAATGGAAAAGCTGATTGTGTATTTCCTACTGTTCCTCCTCAGCTACTCCTCAAAGCCCTCAGAACTTTCCATTCCAGTCAACTCTCCAATAACCAGATCAAATGAGACAAATCCAGGGACAGGAGTTTCCTTCACCTTCTACAAGTGTTTAATAATTACCCTTTACACTTGGGGATCACAACAAGTAGCCAAGACCTTAAACTGCTCCTGGGGAAAACAGATGGCTGTGAATAAATAAATCACTTTGGAAGAGCCCAGTTTCAGTACAAACACTCAGGGAGGAATGGGAAGAGGTGGGTGGGCAGAGAAATGCCCTGTATGGGACTGGTTAAACAATCAGCACAAAGATTTGTTCAGAATATGGAGTGCCTTTGGAAAAGTGGAGCTGAAATCCCATGGATGAATGAAAGAACATTTACTGACCTACAGCTTGCTGGTATCTCTTTGTTCCATAACAGCAGTGATAAGATGTAGGAAAAAGGGAGATTTTATCAACAGAGTGACCAGACTCATTTATTAAGGAACCAGAGATTCCATCTCAGCAGAGGATGCTGCAAGGGACGCTGACGGAGCAGTGTTGGGAGGGAAGGAATGAAATGTTCCCATCAGACAGCAAGCAGGCACAGGAGGGTGGGTAGGAATGACCACATGCCTGAAAAAGAGCTGGGAGAGGATTCAATCCTCCCCCTTTCTGAGCTCTCTCAAACCTCTCTGAGACCTCTTCTTTTCTCACAGCTGGAAGGTGCAAGTTTGTTCTTTCAGGAAAGATCCTCTGGCAAACTCACAGAGCACCTCCCAGGTAGTTGTGAGTAACACAGGGTGAATTCTTCCACCCTCCAACCCACAGTCTTACCTCACCTAAAAATCTCTTTATGAATTGAGCACGTAGCCGAGAAACTGCAGCCAAGCTCAGCCTTGCCTGTGGCCTGCAGTCCTTCCCCTCTACTTCTACCTTTATGGAAACAAACAGGTTTCTGCAGGCTCAGGAGGGGTGAAGACACAAGTCAGCTGCTGCCCACGAGCATACTCTCACCCTCCTGTACACCTGAAGTACAGTTTACCAAAGGAGCAATTCAGCATGGATCTACCACATCACTGCAGGTGCTGCAGTGATGAGACATGTAGGAATTCATCCCTCAGCTCACTCTGCAGTAATTCCTGAGGCATCCCCCAACACAGAACTAACCTTTTGTGTTAATGTGCATCTCATGCCTCAGGGATGGTATTTTTGCAGTGATTTCATGATACACAACATAATCAGAAGCGAAGGAAGACTCTTGTACAGAGCTCCCTGGGAGCCTCCAACCCTTTGGATCCTGGCTGTCAAACCCAATTGTGCTGGAGCTCTCTTGCTGCACAGGAGTTGTATCACCACAATTACAAGTTTTAAATAATCCATTGTGAGCTCTGACTTTCAGTTAAGCAAAGCCTCACCACTCACAGCTGAATTCACAAGGAAAATCAACTGTTTATTTCCAGGACTGAGACAAATAGGGTCTATCTCAAGTGCCCAGAGAGACTTGCCTGAAGTGTTTGTGTGTGTGTCCGTGTGTGCACACAAACAAGGTGCCATTTCTTGCATACATAACTGAGTGTGTTTCTATTTTAGCAGCAGCAAGATGGCAAGGTGGGTTTGTCAGAATCAGCAGGACAGTCAGGTCCTCACCTGTCTGGTTCCAAACTGAAGAATGTCTGTCAAGGGCATTTTTGCCTGGGCATCAATTATCTCCACTTCCCCCTGAAGCCTACACAACCCTAAATTGCTCTTCCTGCTGAACAGCAATGGGCAGGAAAAGGAGGGAATCCAGTGGGAGCTGAGGGGCTCAGCACTGTGCAGGTGAGGAAATGTGGCTCCAGAACATCAGACAGCTCAGGCTGAGGGTTTGGATGTCCAGGCTCCCTTTACTGCAAGTCAGGGAGTGAGGATTCTCCAAACAGCAATTCCAGAAGTCAGTAAACAAGACAAGGAGCTACTTAAGGTAACAAAGAGGATAATAGGAAAGAGTCTTAAATTTTTCCTTCTTTTCAAGGTTTGCAAAACTTATTCAAGCCTGCAATGGAAGAGTAAATTCAAAGTGCTCAAGTCTGTTTGTGGCTCTGTCTCATAGTAAAGAGAACCTCAAGAATCAGATATTTAAAAAAGCAAAAAAGGGAATAAAACATCAAACTGTGACCTTTTAAGTGAGGCTCATTTCATTGTAGTTCTAATTCCCTGATATTTATTTTCCTGAATATTTTCCACATACACAAAGAGAATGAAGAGCAAAAATGGGCTCGCGTGAGGAGTCTATTTTGACAATGTCAACCATGTTATAGTTGCACAGACTGACTCAGGGATATTGATTTCAGTCTATTTATACATCTGCCACAAGTGTTTCCAACAAGGTAATTTGCCACGAGACATCAGCTGAAGCAAATTAGGTTTCATGTTGAAAGTCCCCTTGCTGTCTATAGATCTAACAAGCAAACCCATGTCATAAAAAAAAGGGCAAGTGTTGGATTTGAGTAAATATATATCTATTTTTTAAACTTCAGTGGGTTATTATCCACACATATGATCATCACCTGGTGGTTCTTATGCCTAGAGGTTTTACAGGATAAAGCTGTATGTCAGGCTGTTTCAGGTGTTATCAGAACTGTTAACAGATACATGCTTTGTATCTGTCTGGACTGAGGGTAATGGTTCCAAACCTGAGGTCATTTAAATCAAAATTTTGCAAACCAGAGAAAATCTCTGTGTTTGCACTTAAAACTAAAGAGAAAAGGACAGTAGCTGTAGCTAACTGAATTTTTTCCCAATGCTTTTATTGGCCCAGTCCCTGCACTAGAATATTACATGAGGTACATACCTGAGGGTGTTGGTAATATTGCAGGGGCATCTCTTGTTGCATTTGAGGCCATAGAAGCCTTCAGGACACATCCTTTCCTGGCAGTGGATGCCTTTGAAGCCAGGGTCACAGATGCAGGCCCCGTTGACGTGGTAGCACTTGGCGCCGTTCTGGCAGGCGCAGGTCTGCGCGCACTGGAAGCCGTAGGTGCCGATGGGACACTCCTCCTGGCACCTGCCATGGCACGGGACATGGCATCCAGTCACATCCACAGTCTCAGCAGGACATTGCTTTTACACTGGAACCTCTTTGTTCATGAGTTAAATACCAAGCAGAGCAATTATTGCTCATTTATGGAAGTAACTGAACTGATGGTATCACTGGAGTGATGGGGTATCTTGGGCATGCAAATTACTGCTGGGAGAAACTGCACTCATCCTTGCCCAATTATATCCTGCCAAATTTGCATTAATTCATATTACCTTCATTCACAAGATGCATTCTTCTTTCCTGGACCTTGACAACTGTGTTCATCAATCGTAAGAAAGTGATAGACTATTTTATTATAAAACCCCTCACCTGCTTGACTTTTCTTTATCACAGGAGGACTGTGCACCTCCCTTGAAAGCACATGGCACTCTCAGTGATGAGGAGGGTTAAAAGGGAAAGTGTATTTAGCAATACTGAGCAAAATGTTCTCCAGCAATGTTTTAGTTTTACTTGCCCTCTTTGTTGACATTGCATCAGTTTTATACCAACTAGGAGAAAAGAAACCCCTTTGTGTTTTGTGTGTGTTCTGAGTAACTAGAAGCTTAAATTTGCTTTTCTTCTCCTACTCCAGGGTAGCTCAGTAGTAGAAAATCTCAATAAAAATCACTTTCATGCTCCTTAGTGGAGAATCTTCTTAAAAATTGCCAACATTTTAATATTTGATCTACATACAATTGGAACCTGCAAACACTTTACACAGATTGTTTTAAATTGCACCTTCCATGCACTGTTAAAAATATCTCCCTACTTGGATATGTTCTGAGATCTGCCAAAAAGTCTGTTTCCTTGTCCTACACAACCAATTTAAGAGTTCAGATTATTTCCTACTTGGAAAAGCTCAGCTAAGGTCCTGAAGAAAGCAACTGATTGTGTGCTTGACATAATTCAGTGGTTTCAGAATTCTGCAATGAGTCAGTACCACAGTTTACATGATCCACCGTGAAATACAGATAGGCCTTTTCAGTTAATAAAAACAGAAAAAGAAGCCCAGAAAAGCCCAATTCCCTTATCACATGGATGCCAGGCATTGGAAATTGCCTATCAGCATTAATTTAAGCCTGAGCATTGATTAAAGTGTATACTGTAAACTCAGTGGATGGAGGCAATTGTTAAATGTCTTTCTGCAGGTCATTTCACAGCTGGCAGGTGAGAGTTAATATAATGATCAGTAATAAAAGATTAATGTGTGATGCAAGCCAGGCAAAACTGCAATGAACACAGGCAGTATATAAGAAGGGCATTACTTTTGCAGCTTCAGATTATCACGTTTTACTAAAAATAAATGAACACAGCAAAGGGGCTGGCTGGTGATTTAATTCCAGCAGGCACTGACACAGTTGCTGGTCGCAAATCTGAGTTGAGGAGTTCATACAAGACTCAAAGTGAGAGGAGTTTGGGACAAAGAGGGAAAGAGTCTGGAGAGGCACCAGAGAGAGACAGAGCCCTGCTGCTCTCAGGGGGTTCAGCTGCAAAGGAAAGAGCCAGCAAAGAATGGGAACAGTGGGGCTGGAACATTCCCAGCAAATGAAATGCAAGGAGGAACAATGAAGCTCCTTATGTCCCCGCTGCTGCACAGACCCTGAGTGAGCAGAGAGCTCTGAGCTCCACAGGGTGAACTCTTAGTCAATAGTGCACTGTATCATTCTATATTTATAGAAGATGAAGCATTACCTAGCAGGGAGAAAAGCATCTGGAAATGAAATATTGACGACCCAATCCATTTACATAATTAGCCTTTTTCTACTAACAATTTAACCAACTTATTTATTTGGAGATCAAGCAGCTACCTCTAATGAATTTTATACAAAGAATACTAATAATGACTCCTCTGGAACATGAGAATAATCACAGCAGGAATTAGCTTTCTACTTAAACATCTTTCCTTTGCAACATATCAATCTAATGTGTCCATAGCACCATTAACAACCAGATACATTGTTCAATTAAATTACAAAATGAGCTGCTAAGCCCTAGTTATGTTTCTTGTTTAATTTACATTGCTTTCTGCCTATCTGGGGAGATTCGTATTATAATATCCACTGAACTTTAATATGTACCATAATTATTTGGGTTGGGATAGGATAATATGGCTGTCACCTGTAGAATTAATGGAAGCAATTTCACAAAATATTAAACAGAAGACAGCATGCTTAACAGATGAACTTAGTACATGCTCCTACATTTTTCCCCAGAATTTTCCTTTTTGGAGGAATAATGCTGCAGAGTTTTTTAGGCTGTCCTTTTTGTTTTGAAACAATGATCACGTTTTTGTAGCACAGACAAATATGAAAAGCCATCCAAAATGCACTAACATGGAGATAAGAGCTACAAGTACAAACACAACAAGAGGAGAGTAAATCTGCCCGTATATTTCTAATAAACGTGAGATTTATGCTGTTAAGATTCAATCTTTCGATTTAAGGGCAATATAGAAAACAAAGCTAAACCAGCATGTTCACTTTTCCTGTGAGCCACTCAATTCTGAAACACTCCATTCTCAGCTTCTAACTGTGCTCCTGCTATTATTCCTTTCCAGTTTGTAAAACACACATTTCCATGACAGATCCAGTCATTTCTGTGAACACAAAGCATCCTGCAGTTATTAACAGTGTTGCCAATTTCCTAGAGATTTAGTGCAGTGCCACTCTTGGAAAACAGGTAGGGAACAAAAGTGTGGCAATTACACTCACACAGACCTTTATGACCATTTCATCTCTACAGATATTTATCTAACTCTGTGTTATTATCTTCTGCACATGATGATGAACTGTAGCATTATATAGTACTTATTGACAATTTAAAGATGATAGTAGGTAAAATGCATTTATGTATTTATTGCTGTTATTCACAGTATCTGTCATTATTAAGATTTTTTTCAATGCCTTGTAAAATGTTAAAACAGGCAGTGTTTTGTTGTTCAGCAGATTCTCCTGCTCTTCTTTTTGCTGGGACAGTAAAACAGCTGCAGATGCAGAGTGTAAAACAGACTCTGAGCTAAACTGGAGCTGCCTGCTCTGTCCCATTGTCCCTGTGCTGTGAGCAAAAACCCAAGGAAAGCCATTCAGACTCTTTAAAGACCTCGTCCCTCACTGAAATCAGTGGGCCCCCAGGCAGGTGAGGCAGGTGTGTGCTCAGAACAAACCAGTACAGCCAGTACAAACCAGGGCTGCCCAGCCCAAGAGAGCAGCAGAACTGCAGCTGGACACAAGAGGCCTGAGGTTTCCCCTCCCTTATAGGAGGGGGATTAAAGGCTGAGAGATGAACATGTTCTAACCTTCCAGGAACCTGTTGGAAAGATGGGAATTTATAGGCTAATCCAGTTTTACCCTGCTGCAGCAGAGCTTTCCTAACTGCCTGTTTACCTTTTCAATCCTGTTCTCATTCATCCTTTCACACACCTGCATTTCTGCTCTCCTGCCTCTCCTCTCAGCGTCTTTTACTTCACTGCTCTGGGATGGGGAAGGTGAGCCATTGCCAAGAGTTTTGCTTGGATGCAGGTCCAGAGTGTGACATTCTTTTCCATTTCTCCCAGCTGATTCTGCCTTATTTTTTTACTGTCTCCCTTCCCAAGTTATTTCTCTCTTTGGAGTCTAAATCTCTCTCCCTTTTATCCAAGTACAGATCTCCGAGTCCACACTCCTTTTGCTCAAGGACAACCCCTGTGAGCTCCTGCCATGTTTTCCCTGAGGTGCCTCCTCTGCCCAGTCTCTCCCTGAGTTGCCCTCTCCAATGGCAATCAGCAGTAAAATCCTCTTCCCATCTCCTTTCCTCATTCCCAACAGGGATGCAAGCTGCTGGCTGGGAGCTCCCAAAAGCTCCAACTCTTGATTGGACTGATCCATCTACAGCCGGGAATCCATCAGGGTGTGCAACAACCAAATGAGGAGAGCAAGAGAGGCTCTGCCAGCCTCCCCCAGCATGGATTCAAGTGTGGTCCCCACTATAAAGTCCCAGGCTGTACTTTTCCCCTTCAGTGGAAAAGTCTCCACAAAGACAGAAAGAGAAACAGGAATTATATGGTACCACATGTCTGGGAACAATCTCCAGATGGAGAATGGGGAAGAGAGGCACACTGATGTCTTCTTCTCTAAATTACTTGGAAATAATTAGTATTTCCTCCATATTCAACCCCATGCAAACCCTGACATAAACTCCAATTATAACTATCCATAAAATGGAAACTGAGAAGCTCCATGTGTAATGGGAAGGAGCAGCCTTCTGACCCTCCCACAGGGCTGAGGGTTGGATGCTTGTGCTACAACGACCTGCTGATTATTCAGTGAGGGCAGAGATGAGAAATTCCAATGAGTTTTGTTGCATAAAAATATAATTGCAGCATATGTCAGTATAGAGCTAATAAAACGAGAATATAGAGGAGAAAGTGCTTTAGAGCATCCACTGGTGAGCTGTGCATTTCTGCAAACCCTGGTGCCACAGGGTTTGCCCCATGCAAAGTGCTCCTGAGAGCTGCTTTAAGTGCATTTCCCACCCTTTGTTAGCCAGGATTAGCTGCGGGCTAAGGCAGCACGTGCTGCAATCCCTCATTGACTTTGCTGTGTAGTCATTTTGCTGAATCCATGACACCTTGGTAAAACAATATTATCATCTGCTCTGATCGATTCATGGGTGAAGGCTCTCGTTTATAAATTTTGAGGATTTATCACCTTTTGCTGGTGGCAGAGATGGATCAGTGCTACAGCAGCACAGAAGAATGAAGGAGACATTAAACTGCAGCATTGCTTACTCTTGAGGATATTAATTTGTATAAAGATAGTTCATTTACATATCTTGTAAACATGTAATGCTCTCTATTAAATTTATCACTGTAAATATCTAAATTAAATTTAATCCATTAAATTTTAAAAGTTATATTAAAACCCCCTGTAAATGGAGAGCATTGCCAATAAAAAGTAATAACATTGCCACATTTATATTGCTTGAAGTGCTTCAGAAGGATGAACCTAATTGGAGCAATAGAAACATAACACCATTTTTCAGGGAGGAAGATTGTCCTAGAAGGGATATAAATATTGACAGTCTGTGGTTAAAATGAAAGGCTTTGGGGGTTGATTTTTACCTGTCTCCTATATAGCCAGCTGTACACAGGCATTTTCCTGTCACGGGGTCACAGTGCCCTCCGTTGTGGCATGGACAGTCCTGGCTGCAGTTAATTCCAAAGGTTCCAGGAGGACAAGGCTGTGCACACACCAGCCCCTGGTAAGGTTGCAGAAAGAGCAATATTTCAGTCAACATTCATAATGCAATAAATTTCTCTATGCAGCTTGGAATTTTATTGTCCTTCTTGCTAAAACTAGATGTAAGTGTAGTAGCAGTATTTTATCTGCATAAGATGTGCTAAAGACAGTCTGAAAACTCTGCTACCACAGTAAATGCCTGCCTGGCCTGACTCCAGAAGGGATTTTTCTCACCACTGCACACTCAGGGATAATTCTCTTCCTTGGATCTCCCCCACAAACTGCATCTGGGCTTGCACTGCCCCTCGAACAGCCACATGAAGATGTGGGAGAAGTTAAAGGCAACCAGAGAAGTCTACAAAACTGCTTGTGTTCTCCTGGGGTTTTTGTGAAATGGGGAGTCTGAAAAGCTGTTGGCCACCTGCTGCACAGAGGAGGTTTGGGAAGGAAGGGATTGTTGCACTGGGAGGGTGTAGCTGTGCTGGTTTTCATGGTCTGTGATGATCTCTCCTGTTCAGCCACGTGTTCATCCAACCCAACTGGAGGCTGGAGATTCCTCTACTGCCCTTCACACCCTTCTCACTGCTCCCTCTGCTCTCTCCAGCCACACATCCATCTCTCAGATGGATGGATCTGCCAAAGCTTTGGGAAAGCCATAGAGGGGCAGAATGGGAATGAGGATTAGCACAGCTGCAGAAAAACCCCAGTGATGGCACAGAAGCAATGTGAGTGTCCACATCAGCACTGCAGCAGCCTTCTGGCCAGAAGAAGGAATTTTGCAGTGGAATATCTACCTAAACAGTGACAGGATGCAGCCTCCAGCATCCTTCCAGCTCCTTTATCCCCAGCCCTGGAGCCACATCTCAGTTCCTGACCTGCCTCAACTTCACATCCTGTTTTATGGTCCCAGTCCTCTGCTTTCCTGCCTCTTTATTCCAGTCTATTCCAAATCCTTGTTGCAGCCTCCCTTTTAATCCTCTCCTCCACCCAGACCCAAATGCTCATTTTTGAGATGTTTCCTCTTCTCCTCCCTGCTTAACCAGCCCTGGGAGTGAAGCAAAGCCAGACTGTCCCTGCTGTGCCCCTGGCACTGCTCACAAGTGAAGCAGCTCCCAGGTAATCCCTGCTCCAGCTGCTCAGCCCCAAGGCAGGGAATGTTCACCCTTGTGTGGGGTCATGTCTCTGGAGAATCTACCTGCCAGCCTCAGGTGGTTTCCCCCCAGGTATCCCATAATGTCCCTGCCAAGTATCAAGGCCTTACAAGGATTTCCCCAGACTTTCTCAGAAGTTGTATGAATGTTTTTCTCCCTGTGAGCAAATATAAAGCCTGATGCTGGCATCCAACTGAGGAACTTCAGCCAAAACAAGTCTGGCAGTGCTGGGATCTGAAGTTGTGGTCCTATAATGGAAAATGTTTGGCATCTGCAGCAAGTGCTGCTGCTGCCAGTGCCACCACAGTGCCCAGCATGAGACAGAAACAGTGTCTGGCCACGGGATTATTTGGGTTTAATTTCTCTGTTTCCCTAACCAAGCCCTGGGGCCTCTGGGTTTTGAGCAAAGCATGTATCAGACCAAACTGATTCAAAATATAAACCAGGAATATAATGGCTGCTTTCACTCCTCAGGGCTTGGGAAGTTTAGCTGTATGAACAGCCCCAAAGTGAAGAGGCTGCTCTTCAATGTCACCATAAAACAGATACTTTGAGCCTTTCCCAACCAGGGCTGTGTGGCTCCTTGGCTGTAAAACAGACAAGTTGGCCTCTGTTCAAGAACTTTCAGATTACAGTGTTAAAAACTGGTGTCTCTGGACTTGAGTAATACACAACACTATATATCTGAAAACCTAAGTGTCCATTTATCTTGATAATAAATACTTTCTCCCTTCATGACTCAAAAGGAACAGGATTTCTATCAACAAATGATGAGAAAGCAATACTCTGGGATGCATCCCCCCGGAGCCAAGAGAATCTTTAGCTGTACTTTTTGCATTAATATGTACTAAGGGAATTCAAAACATCCCTCTCTAGAGGATCAAATGTCAGACCAACATTTCCTGCTGCTTATACATCTAATCAGCAAAGTTCACCCCATCAGCACCTTTTTTAAGGCCCTGATCTCATCAGCTTCTGCTTTTGACATTGTTTTCTGTACTTTGTAGGACAGAAAAGATTTTTTTTTTCCTCCTTCATTTTCTCAGACACCTCCATGTTTAAAATCCACACCAGAAAGAAAAATAGGCAAAAATACAAATGATGCTTCACTATGCCCAGAATCAATAGCAGAGAAGTGATGAGCAGAATGTGCTGTACTACCACAGCACCACCATGCCTTGGGAAGGGGGTCTGGGGCCAAACAGGGGGTGTTGCCAGTGACAAATGTTCTGTCAGGTGAGGAAATATTGCTGCTTTCCTGAGCACAGAGAACTAGTCCTTCAAAAGCGCTTCTGAGAAGCATTGTAAATGCAAAATTAACTTCTCTCCCCAATTCCTGAGAGCGCTTGGAGAATTTAATATTGCAAGTGAGAAAGATGTATAGAATTAAATCTGTAAATTGTTAATGAAACCCTAAAGCAGCCACCCACTAAACTCCACAGCCACAAAAGTGGAAAAAGCCCAACATTGTGGGAGGCTGGAAGCCAGATTCTGTTGACTGTTCAACAAGAGAGGCTGTTGGCCACCATCCTCCTGGTGAAGAACCCATGGGGTGGTAAAATCCCACAGGACACTGTCCGTGGAACTTGTGCTGCTGAGAGATTCAGCACTAGTGGGAGGAAAGACATTACAAGTCATAAAAGAACCAGGCTTTGAAGATGGCAAATCCAAGGAGGAACCTCAGAACCCCAGAACTTCCTTCTTTTAAAGTCAATGCCTTCCCTTCCCCATCCCACCAAAGCCCAAGGGAGCTGAGCTCCTTTTAATATGACAACCTAGGAAAGGATAAAAGTTGCAGCTCATCCAGCAGCAATAAAGTCCAAGTGGATTTGCACTTGTACAAATCTAGGGGGAATTCTCTCCTTCCAAAATGATGGTATGTTCAATATATATGTGCAGTCTCAAGCCTCAAAATCAGCAAGTAAAATTCCTGGTGTCACAGAAATCCGTGGTGTGAAATAAAATGAATGCTGTCTAGCAATCCCATCTCGCCTGCTCCTTTACAGCCCCCTCATGTCTCACTTCCCAAACCATTCCAACCACCAAGAGTTAAAAATATAGCATGAAAACACACTTGTTATCTCTCTCTGTACACTGAATTACCAGCTTTTCATTAAAACCCTGGAGAGACCCTTTATACTTAAAATCTCAACATTTACAAGCTGAGTGCTTTTACTTATAATTTCAGTTTCTTTCTGCAGAATACTTGATCTTTCTCTTCAATTTTCAGTTATGCTTGTTTCAAACATCAATTGTTAACTCTAGGGTTCCTCCAGGGACAGCGCAGCCAACAACACAGTTTTCAGAAAAGTCTCTCTGGGATCCTAAAAAAGCATAAAGGAACTCCAGGCTGTAAGGGATTCGGCAGGACTGGGCCAGAATACAACCACAGCTGCTGTGCAGTGCTCTGGTTCTTCTTAGGGTCTGTGCTGCATCCTAAAAGACATCTAAAAATTCCTGTTCTATTCTGCTATTCTTATTTGTTTAGTGATGTTTTAACTTTGAAAAACATGAGAAAACTCCTGATAAAATGCAAGTAATGAATAATACAGAAAAACAACTCAGATCCTGAGAAATCTTGGCATGCAGGAGGAGAGATGAAAAAAGTAATATTTTTATGTGAATCACTTTATTGATCACTTCTTAGGGGGTAGTGCCAGAATGGACTGATAGGCCCTCAAAAATATGTGAATTGCTTTCCTAATGCTCCAGCACTCAAGGAAAGAACCTTTTGTTTGCCACCACTGATTGCCAGGTGAGGGCAAGGGGCCATATTCAGACTTCTGACAAGTTTTGTCATTTGGAATGGAATAACCTCATCACCACCCTTGCCATGATGGGTGGTGTTAGAGAGATTCCAGCTCTCCAGTTAGAGATATTTTCCACCAAAAATGAAGAACACCAGTGTTTTCCCACAGAACATTGTTGCTGATGCACAGCAGCATCTCAGAGCTGGTACTTCTGAACTCAAAGCAGTTGATGTATAAATGGAAAGGAACATAAACCTCTCTCAGTTTTTGCATGTTTGAACAGGTAGAGGGTCCTCATCAGAATTCACAGTTGTGTGATGATCTGCAGGGCCTTCCACGTAAAAATAAAAAGTTCAGAGTACTTGCATGCTTTAAAATCCATCAACTTTGCCAAGAGACTAATTGTCAGATAGAGGAAAAATGCCAGGAAGTTTAGTACAGCTAAATGGGATGAAGGCCTGTGAGACTTGGCACGCCCCAAGAGAGTTCATTATTACATTATTGATAAAGTTGAGGACTTTGAAAATGCTTGGCACTGCTTTCCTGACACAAAGGATTAAAGGTTAGGGCAGCTGTCTCTGCAGTGCAAGCCCTGACACAAGCAAATCTCTGGCAATCAATGGCAGAGGTGCCTGGGCAAGGACACAACTCTGATCTGTGCCCTGGGCTCAGCTCTGCTGCCTGCCTGAGCCTCAGATTCCCCCAGGCTTCCCCCTCTCCCTGAAGGGGAACAGGACACTTTGTGCCTCTGACAGTGCTGAGCTGGGCTTTGAGCTTTCTGTCCTGTGTGAGGGCACTGTGTAAGGCTGCAGGGAGTATTCCCAGGAACTGGAACTCACAGACAACTCTCTTATCCCGTGGCACGCTGTTGTTTTTGAACTCTGTGATGGCACCTGCCAGTCTGAGAATCACAGAGCCACCGAGGCTGGAAAAGCCCTCCAAGATGATCAAGTCCAACCATTCCCCCTGCACTGCCAGGCCCACCACTAACCCCTGTCCCCACACCCACATGTTTCTGGAACACTTCCAGGGAAGGTGGCAGGTTCCAAAGTGGCAGCCTGTCTGTGCAGGTGTTGTGCACACCCAGCAAATGTGGTTCCAGTTTGGGAATTGTTAGAGCCTGGCTGACACACATCAGCTGAAGCTGTGACTGTGAAAAATGCGTACTTTATGATTGGCTTTTCGCAAATATTAAAATGAATATTATATGTGTTATGTTAGAAAGTTAGGCTGCATTAATTCTCTTAAGTAGTGTGTTAAATATAGTTTTAGGTTATAACATAATGTTAAAATAGAAACTCTGAGATGTAAGATATTTTTTTACTAGCTCAAGAAAGAGATAGGATAATCAAGAAACTCTTTGCACAGAGATAACAGCAACAGGACACATAAAGAGTTACAGCCTCCTTATCAGAAAAAACATCCTTCCACCTTCTCTCTGTCTTTATGGAACCACCAGGATTAAGGAGAAGAAGTTGACAAAAACCAGAAACGTTCCTAATTTGCAAGGAATTTATGCATCATGTATGAGATATATGAATATGCAACAGGCTATTGCTTTTAAGGTTATTCTTTTGTTCACAAGGCATGTTTTTGGCAACTTAGGGCCCAAAACATCCAGACGTCTGTAATTCTTTGCTTTTTATTGTCTCATAGTGTCCTAATCCTCAGTGTCCAAATTTTATTACTCTAATTTTATTACTATTTTTATAACTATTTTATTGCTAATAAACTTTTAAGATTAAAAAAAACCAAGTGATTGGCGTTTTTCCCAGTGCCCAGTGAACAGACAGTTGCAGCAGCACCCACCATCCATCCAGCAGGACAGGAGCACTCCCCGGTGACGTGGTGACAAACGCCGCCGTTCTGGCAGGGGCAGCGCAGCTCACACTGCGCCCCGTGGCTGCCGGGGGGACACAGCTCCTCACAGCTTTGGGGAGAGAGAACAGCAAACAGAGACATCAGTCTAGAGAACTCACAGGCAACAGCGAAAAACACACAACAAAGGTGTCATCATGTCATCGTGCAAATGATGAGGCCTCAGCAAGGCTCAGCTGGCACTGCCAATTAGCTGAGATTCCTTTTATTCCTGCTGGGGTTGTTTATGCAGCCTGGATCCAGCCCTGTAAGGCTGATGCATGAGTGTAACCTTTCTGCATGTACCAAATCCCACCCATCTCAACAGGACAACCCATAACCATTAAAATAGCCCAGGAAAATATGAGTTGCGGGATGAAGCCTTCAATGTGAATTATATGACATGGCACCAAAAGAAGCTGCAAACAGAATAAAAGGATGGAATTAAAACATTTGAAATTCCTCCAGTCACTACTGAATGTTAACATTTGCAGTGTATAATGGACTGGCAAGGACTCAACACCATTTAAAGGCTATTTAAGCTCATTGAGTCTCTCTCAGTACTCATGGGGGGCAATGTGGGGGTAATCCCTGCAAAACCCAGTGTGTCCTACATCTGCACATCAGAGCTTTCAGCACTGAGCTTCTGAAATTATAGGATGTTGTCCCCCTAACTGACTGTCGTCTGATGAGGATGTTCCTACAACATCAGGGGCTGGCCCTGCTGAGAACTGACATGCTGATGCCAAGGGGAGCATTCCCAAGAGTAAGCGAAGTCCTTAGCAGTGAGTGCTTCCATGACTGAGGTCACAAGTCTAGGAGGAAATCAGGTACTAAATAAAATATTCACAAGCCCATCACTTATTTATGAGGGTTAACTCTGTCCTTATTTTTTACCTTCCCCCTCATGCAGGTCAACAAATAATAATAGACTGCAAAACTATTAACTCACCTACAAGAGATCTCCAACCAAATTCAGTGACTAAATTCTCTTTTCCTCTTAAATAATTCTGAAAAACATAATTACTTCTGAAACTACTGAAAGATCTCTAATGAGAACTGATGTTACACTGTGGGCAATTTTAAACAAGAAACTATTGCTTGCTGTCCTAAAATTAATATGCAGATTCTGTGAATCCTACTGGTAAACTTTCCGTGTGGTGGATGGGGATTTAGCTACATGATTCTCGTTAAAGTTAATAGGAGTCACACCGCTAAATCCCTGCTCTCTGTGCTTAAAATTTACCCCCTAGATACTAAGCTGATATAGTTAACAGCAATGCTTTCTCAGTTAGATTGAAAGTCAAATAAATTGGGGATGGAAAAGTCCCATTTGATGCTGCACTAGACTACTAATGAGGAGAGAGTCCAACTGCTTATCAAAACTCCACTGTAATTTGGATTGTATTCACATTCTGAAATTAAGAACAAGTAGAGTTGTTGCACAAGTTGAAACATATAAATTATTTTTAAGCTTATTTTAGCACTATATTTTATTTTAATAGCATGGAATCATAGAACTCCAGAATGGTTTGGGTTGGAAGAGACATTGAAACCAGATCCAACTCCCTGCCATGGGCATGGGCACCTTTCACCATCCCAGGGTGCTCTGAACCCCATCCAACCTGGCCTTGGACACTTCCAGAGATCCAGGGGCAGCCCCAGCTTCTCTGGGCACCTGTGCCAGGACCTCCCCACCCTCGCAGGGAAGAATTCCTTTCCAATATCCCATTTATCCCTATTTAAAGCCATGTCCCTTTGTTCTATCGCTACACACCCTTGTCCTAAGTTCCCCTCCAGCTCTCTTGAAGGCTCCTTTCAGGGACACAGGTCCAACCAGCAGCAAGAACAGAGGTTCCCTTTATCCATTCTCTCTGAAACCCCCTTCCCTCATTTCTACAAAGACCAGTGTATAACAGGGTGGAAATCCAGCTGATGACTCTGCTGCACTTACAACACGCCGGTGTATCCGGGCGCGCAGTGGCACTCGCCGGTCTGGTGGTCGCAGGTGGCGCCGTGGTGGCATTGGCACTGGAAGTGGCATCCCTTGCCGTAGGTGCCCGGCTCGCAGAGCTCCTCGCAGCGCCAGCCGCGGAAGCCGTCGGCGCACACACAGGCGCCCGTGATGGGGTTGCAGAGCGCTTCGTTCTGGCACTGGCAGCGGTTGCTGCAGTGCGGCCCCCAGTGCTCGCTGTCACAGCCTGCGAACGCACACGGAGTTACCCACGGGGCACACGGGGCTGCCTCACCCCACAGCCCCGTGTGCGCCTCGGCCAGAGCCTCCCGCAGGAACCCCCGCTCCCAAACTGCCCCCCGGCCCGGCTTTAACATTTGCCCGCCCTCCACCCCAGCTTCAGCACCTTCCTCCCAAACCCAACTTCAGCATCTTCCCCCCAAACCCAGCTTCAGCATCTTCCCCCCAAACCCAGCTTCAGCATCTTCCCCCCAGAGCCAACTTCAGCATCTTCCTCCCAAACCCAGCTTTAACATCTTTCTCCCACACCCAGTCTCAGCACCTTCCTCCCAAACCCAGCTTCAGCATTTTTCTCCCAGACCCAGCTTCAGCATCTTCCCCCCAAACCCAGCTTCAGCATCTTCCCCCCAAACCCAGCTTCAGCACCTTCCCCCCAAACCCAGCTTCAGCATCTTCCCCCCAGACCCAGCTTCAGCATCTTCCCCCCAGACCCAGCTTCAGCATCTTCCCCCCAGACCCAGCTTCAGCACCTTCCTCCCAAACCCAACTTCAGCATCTTCCCCCCAGACCCAGCTTCAGCATCTTCCTCCCAGACCCAGCTTCAGCATCTTCCTCCCAAACCCAGCTTCAGCACCTTCCTCCCAAACCCAGCTTCAGCACCTTCCCCCCTCGATTCAGCTTCAGCACCTTCCCCCCAGACCCAGCTTCAGCATCTTCCTCCCAGACCCAGCTTCACCACCTTTCCCCCCAGCTCAGCTTTAGGGTGCAAGGACACAATGGCACCACTGTTATACCTAAAGTTGAGGACTTGTTTAACACCTTACTGGATCAGAACTGAAATCTTTTAATATCCTGTCTCTTAGTGCTTTTAGATTGCTGGAAGGAATGAATTTATAGTGGAATTAGATGCAGAGGGTCACATCCTGCCTGCAGTGCACTTAATGGCAGGTGGTGCTGCCAAGCAAATCCTGTCGATTTAATAATGTCATCAAATATTGTTCCTTTGTTATGCTCCCATAAGATAACATACAAGATAATCTAAAGAAAGCTCTGTCCTTGGTGTTGTTTGTTTTCTGATTTATTTATTTATTTATTTACTTTTATTGTATGGACTAAGTAGATGGGAGGAAAGAAAATAACACTGGAGACAGAATGTCCTGAGGCTGCCCAGGCTCAGGGATGAAGGTATGGAGTGAATATATCAAGTAATTCCTGTGCTAATAACAGCAACACAGAAGGACCCCAAACCCTCTGGCCACTGACAGGGAGAGAAGGTTCCCTGTGGGATGCCTTAAGGCACAGGGAGAACCCTCATGTGTCAATCCCTCCTGATCCCTCCTCTTTTGAAGAGCATGTGGAGGACAGGAGAGGGAAGTCAGCCCTACAGGAACAGTTTCTCCTGGTTTGCTATCGAAACAGCACCTGTACCACACCTCTTTGAGCTGCATGCACTGAACAGAGCTCAAGCAGACACCTGAGGTCAAGGTTTCCTCAGCAAAAAGTCTGCAAGAAAACAGAGATTTCTTCAGCAGCCCTACCCTCTGCTTAGCAGCCTTTCACCATAGCTGTGGCAAGGATGAAGAAAATCCTCATCCTGTTCAGATGAGGCTACTGAGCAGGACACAGTTACTGATGGCTTTCCAGGCACTGCTGACTGTGCTCAGAGCTGGTTTCCATTTCACCACCAACCCTCCTGCCAGTGGTGTAAATCCCACTGCCAGGCAGGAGAGGAGAGTGGAATCCCAGCAACAGGGCTGTCTTCACAAACTCTTTTATTTGCAAACATGGAAACTAATCCCAGGTGACACATGCTGCTTCTCAGCCCTGGATCTGTTTCCAGGATTAGCGAGGTAAATGTAAAGCTCACTTAAGCCTGTGCTTTTGTCCTAGAAATTCCATATCCCTCTCCTTCTACAGTACTTGGCTATAAACCCACACTGAAAAACTGCTTCTATCCATTAATTTTGGCAATATTTTTATTTATTATCCTTCATTTTGAGACAGAGGATACTCATTGGTCAGAGTGATGATATCCAGCAGAAAAAGAAGACAGCTCTTAGTTAATTTGCTCTGCTGATTACGAGTTTACAAATTTGTGTTTCTTGAGCAAGTGTTAAAAGCCGAAATAAACCCACAGAAGGCAATTCCAAGGTCTCCAAAAGACCTGCAGGGTGTTAGAGGATGCAGGTGCAGAGGTTTCATGTCCTGAGCAGAGCACACCATGTCCCCCTGTGCACGATCCCACTCATGCCTCACCCCACATCATTTATTGCTCTGCCTCACGTCCCCCACAGCTGAAAACAGGGATGATAGTTCCTTTCTAACACCACTGGGAGCCAAGCAAACAAAATCTTACTCTTTATAAGACTTAAATTATTACTGAGAATCTGTGGGAAGAGATGATCTATCTTTATTTCACATAGACACTTGCTAAGGCTGTGAGAGCCTTCTGGGGCAGGGAGCAAAGCTGCTAGAGCTGCTGGAATTCCCCAGCAATTTCCATTCCAGAAAGCCTGATTTATTTTCTGCACAACTTGAACATCAAGAGATGCAGTTCTGCACCTCCATAAAGAACACAAACCTGAACCACACAAGCACAGCTGATGTCCCTCAGCACAGGAAAGTGGAGTTCAGGGACCAAACTGCACCCTGTGTGCTCTGGGAATTGATTCCTGCCTTCCCACACCTCACATCAGAGCCCTGCTGCAGACTGTGGCTTCTTCTGAGCTGATACAGCTCCAGTTGCAATTAATTTCCCTAATATGAATAAATAACACTCATTACAAGATATGATTCTATCCTTGCTCTTTCATGTCTCAGGTGGATGCTCCAAGCATCCAATTTGTCTGCTGGGTTTGTGTTTTTCACTTTGAAAGGAAGTGAAGGAAAAAGAAAACCATTTGTAGGAAGGGAAAACCATTTCCCATCATTAGTTCAAGCATCTTATTTCAACTGTACAGTGCCTGCCCCAAACACAGCTCCTTTTCTGTAAGTCCATCCTGCTTGAACACTTACTTACAATCAGTATTTGCTCATATGTTTGATTCCTCCCTGTAGCAAATTTCACCCCACAGTCTCACCGAAGGGAATTGAGCGAAATTTGTTGGCAATGTGTCAGTGTAAAATTTGGAAAATAAAATTTCATCCTCACCTGATTTTTTACACTGCAGTAGCTTCACATGAAAATCAGATCTTTGCTGCTCAAAGTTTATCAGTTCCTGTTGCTTTTCTTTCCTCTTTCCTCTAAGTCTCATTTTGCAGTAACTCCAATGACTGTGGAATCATTTCACTGGAACATGATGTGATATTTGTCTGATGATATAATGATAACTCTGAGATCTGCACTGTGGGCACTTCTGCACCTTTAGCAAGTAGATACAGGGATGATAAGCTAAAATCCAAGTACTTATTTATGCAATTAACTCCACTGAGCTCAGCAGGCTCGCTCAGGTGTGAGAGTACTTGAGTGTGTGACTGGCTGCAGGACTGGGATTCAGTAGCTCCTGGTAGAGAATTATAAAACAGAAGAAACAAACGACTTCAGCAACCAAAAGGTATTTTTTCTCTCTACATCAGTGTGGCAAATCCTGGCTGGTGTGTGACTGTGACTCCAGGTTCTGGGACAGGGACAGAGAGCAGAGCAAGGCACAGAGCCACAAGATCCTGCTGCACTTTGGGATCATCAGCAAGTCCTCCCATGGACAAGGAGAGACCATTTCAAACCCCAGCCCCAGACTAGCACAGTCTGATCCTGCTTTTGTTGATTGCCCCCATGAGTTACTGTAATAGAGATAAATAATAACAGCAACAACGTGTGAACAGAGAGCTGATTAAAGCTCACACGAGCGCTCTGCTGTAAATGCAGATGCCATTAAAAATGTCAAAATGATACAGAGACTTTAACCAGACCATCAATAAGGAAAGCAACCTGAGAGAGGTGATGTCAGGGAGGTACAAATGCTCCCCTTAGCTGCATGTGGGGATGTCAATACCGTGAGGGATGAGGCTGAAACAGCCTCTGTTCTCCTGGGAGATGCTACGTTGAAGGGAAGTGCCATATTTCAGGCACGTGCCCACATTCCCTGGCAAACCTGCTAACTTCCTCACTTTTTCACCTTCAGAAATATGGCTGGAGATGAGCAGTCGGCAGTAAAAATGAATGTGGCTCTGCAAGGGATGAGGCTGGGTGCCCAAGCACAACCACTCTGGTGTGCACAGGGTGCTGTGACAGGGGAGTGGTTCTCTCCTCAGAGGAGACTGCTCAGAGCAGCACCAAGGGTTCTCCTCCTATTGTCACCCCCACTCCCACACTGAAACCTCAATTCCTTCCTGCAATGAGGGCTAATTCCTGCAGGCTCTGCAAAGAGAATCATCAAATCCTAGAACCCTTAAGGTTGGAAAAGACCTCCAAGGTCACCAAGTCCAACTTTCAACTGAACATCCCTGTTCCTACTAAACCATACAATGAAATGCCACTTCTGCTTGGCTTTGAACTCCTCCAGGGGTGGTGACTCCACCCTGGGGAAAGCACTAGAAACTGTTCCAGTGCTTAACCACCCCTGCAGTGAAGAATTGTTTCTGCTGTGGTTGTGCATGACACCCTGCTGGCAGCTGTGTCCTGGGAAATACACCTCCAGGACACAGGGGAAGGTTTCTGAGCTCCCCAGGGGCTGCTTATCCCTGGAGGGATGATGAGGAAATTCCTGTGTTCTGGGGCACTAGAGATACCCACTGCCCAGTGCAGCAGCACTAATCAGGCACAATGAAGCAAACACAGGAGTTTGAAAGGTAATAGATTAACAAAAGGTCTCCCAAGGAAGGGGTGACATTTATGGAATGACTTTTCCCAATGAGAGAGAGTCAAGAGTGCTATTCCAGAGCTTTTCCATCACTGCACACACTATTCATATGAAAACAGCATCTCCTGTCACAGCAGCAGCACAACCTGTGGTCTCAAGGTCTGAGTTCATTCTGCTTTCATCAGTATCAGCCTCCCTGTGGCTCTTT